AGGCAGATCTCTGTGAGTTCAAGGCCAGCCTGATCTACATAGTGAGTTCCAGGCCAGCTGGGGCTACAGGGAAACCCTATTTCAAAAAGACCAAAAAAAAAAAAAAAAAAAAGAGAGAAACATATAATGTGTGTGTGTATGTATAGACACATACACACACACACACACACACACACACACACATCAATGAAATCAGGCAACAAAGCTCACACACTGCTCATCTTCTATGTAAGTCATGATAAATACTTCAGTAACTCATTTGAGAGGTCATGACTTACAGCAAGGTAAGTGTGGTGGAAACTGTGCTTGGACTAATTCAAGTGAATTTTAGCAATTAAGGCAACCATCCCACACCCTGAGTGTTCACAGTAATGAACAATTTGAACCCCTGCTAGCCCATCAGCTTTCCATTAATATTGTTCTATATGAATCAAAACATTTATGCATTAAAGTAAAAGATGTGGATGTAACATTCACAATCCTGTACAAATATTACAAAATATTAAGGAAAGTAATAAAAAAGGATAAAACTTCCATTTTTCATAATGAATTAATTATGTAAATTAGGCAATCCAAATTATGCTAAATACCCGAAACCGTATGAGTTACCTCCAATCAGTTCTTAGAGTAAGTTCATCTTTGTAACTCAGTAGTGAGATGTATAGGCCAGTGTCAAAACCCACCAAGATGGTGATAGATGCTTGTGTAGATCAGAATTTTGGTTTACCTTTATGTGCAGAGTGTGCGTGTGTGTGTGTGCGTGCGTGTACATGCATGCACTGGCTTCAGAACAACATACAACTTAGTATAAAGACTGAAGAAATAAATATTCATAGTTGGCCTAAAATAACAACCAGTCAAGAAAGTGTCCAGGCTCAACAAATAAATTTGTTTAAATTTCAGTATTTAATCAACTAAGAATTTTAAACTATATCAATCTATTATATTTATAGATGAGATTCTATTAATACCACTAACAAGTGGTGATTCATCCTACAGGTGTATCTGTCTGGCCAAATGCTCACTGATAGTTTACAGCTATAGAATAACTATATAATTTACACATTCAAATTAATGTTTACCCAACATAGGAAATCAGTTAGGTGAAGAATTCAAAAAGTAAAAGAAACTCAGCAAATAACAGCCCTTGCTGTTTACCAACAGCAGCACTTTTGTCATTAGAGCGTTAGTGGTACCTCCAGCCTAGGGACATATGTTGGGATCCTGTTGAATCCAAGAAAGCAACTCCTTTGGTTCTTAATTAATGGCTTGTATGAACTATGACACAATGGCTTATGTCTTTCTGAAAATCAGTGTAATGACCTCCCTGTGAAGAGTCTAGGAGAAAACTGTCAGATGGGAACAGCCTGCGGAGTTTCAACTCACTAATCCACCATGTACCACCACACTCCTAAAAGGATGAACAATGTTGGTTACCTTACCTGTCACTAAGGTCCTATGAAGTCCAGGCCTGAACCTTTGCTCAAAGGGTTGGGCAGGGAGTGTCAACTCTCTGGACAGGGGCAGAACTGAACAGAGGGCAGACCTGTACAAATGTTGTGGCCCTCCGAGTCTGGCTTGTGCTGATCTCTGGCTCCAGGTCATTTGAAACTCTGGTGGTCATACGACAAAGTCTGTTTCTGGGGAAATTATAGAGAGAAGAGTTACCTAGAAGATGGTGAGTCTGTAGGACTGAACATTGGTATGTGAAGCCCGATGGCTAGAAGCAACTCATACTATACTGTCTGTGGACCTGTGTACATTGCAGAAGTCAGTGCTAGAATGTGTGCACACTGTTCCTGCTACTACAGCTGAAGTTTTAAACCTTTGTCCCACGTGGTGGGGGCTGGGATGGGAACTGGGAGCCTGGTGTTTTGACATCTATTGCTTTGTCTTCTAGGACTAGCAATTCTTCGGCCACAGTCCACCGTCTCTACTAAGGTTTGAAATAGAGAGGCATTGTGGGCTTCTGTAGGGTTTATGGATATGTGAGCTGCAAACCGTATGATGCACTAGCCCTCCTTCATCCACATGGCCAACCATTTTACAAATCACAGAGGATGGAAGGTCTCAAATATAGGACTCTGTCCTTATGTCCTGTGTCCTCCTAAGACTGGGGCTATATCCCTGCAGTTTTAGTGTTCTTCCTGAGCTCCTAAATGCCTAATCCCCTCATTCAGTTCTCTACATTACGGCCCCTCTCCAATGCCACATTTCAAAAGGACACAGTACTTCAGTTTTTCACTAATTAAGCATAGCAGCTTTTTGGCTTATAGTCACTCACTGAACAAAATAATGGATTCAGTGTGTATTTTCATACATGAACATAGTGTGTTTTTACCACATTCCTCTACTGTTACCACCTGAATGTCCACTCCCCCCCGCTCTTGCCAGTCTCTCTTTTCAAATATTCTCTCTTACACTTTCATCATTTACTGTTTAAATCTTGAGTCTGCATGAGAGAAACACACTCTGTTTACTCTTCTGCATCTGGGTTGTTTTGCTTAATATGATGATCTCCAAGTCCATCCATTTCCCCCCACATTATATAATTTTGTTTTCCTTTTGGCTGAGCAGAGCTGCACTGTGTACAGCTGTTACATTTTCTATATGCATTTATCTATTGATAGAAACCTAGGTTGATTCCATAACTTGGCTCTCCTGAGTACTGCCAGAGTAATCGTGGAAGTGAAGGTGTTTTTTGTATGCTGACTCAGTTCCCTTGGGTGTCTATCTTGGAATGAGGTGGCTGGCTCATCAAGTAGTTCCATTTTTAGGGTTTTTGAAGAACATGCACAGCGGTTTTCCTAATGGCAGCCCCAAATTGTGTTTGCACCAAGCACATATAAATGTTACTTTGATCAATGGCCCTTTCTAAAAGCTTTGCTTTTGGACATTTCACATGACAATACAATCTGAGTCTTGCCTGCTGACAGCTGTAGTAATCCTGCATCCTCTCATCCTACCTTCCCCATGCTGAGCCCTTGTCAGAATGCCCAGAGCCACTGCCTCAGAGTCTGCATTTGAGTCGCATGTGGCATTCATGATTGTGTATATTACATGTTGAGAAGTATCTTCCTCACTCACCATGACGTTCTCCTCTGAGAAACATATGTAATGTGTGGTGAATACACAAGGATACCACACAGAGTACATGTTCTTTGTGATTGCATTCATTTTCTATTTCATTAAATTCTGTCTCTAAAGTTTGTTGTGTAATTCATGAGATAACATCACTACATTTAGAAGTGTCTTAATAATTAATATTACTTACCTATGTCAGAAACATCTTTATTGCTTTTGTGATCTTGGGCAAAATTTAGAATTGTTTCTGTAAGCATGTTGACCCTTCATCCTTTTTTTAGATTATTAATTGAACTGTTTTATTAATATATTCTGTTCATTCATTTCAGAAACTGTTGTCATTCAGTGATGTGGCTGTTGATTTCTCTCCAGAGGAGCGTGAATGTCTGAACCCTGCTCAGTGGAAGGTGTATAAGGAAGTGATGTTGGAGAATTATAACAACCTCGTTTTCCTGGGTAAGGTTGATGTCCTAGTTTGTTTCTCTATTGCTATGACAAAACATTCTCACCAATACCAACTTGGGGAGGAAAGGGTTTATTTAGCTTACATATCCCAGGTCACAGTTCATCAGGGAGCCAAAGGTAGGAACTCAGGGCAGGAACCGGGAGGCAGGAGCTGGAGCACAGGCCATGGAGGAACACTGCTTACTGGCTTCCTCTCCTGGCCCCTGCTCAGCCTGCTTTCTTATGCAACACAGGTCCACCTGCCCGGGGTGGCACCACCCACAGTGGACTGGGCCCTCCCACATCACTCAACAATCAAGAAGGTGCCCCATGGACATGGCCAGAGGCCAGTTCAATGAAAGCAGTTCCCCAATTGAGGCTCCCTCAACCCAGGTATGTCAGGTTGACACTAACGCTACCCAGCACAGTTGACTTCACTGTCAACATTTAATTTCCTGCATTTGTAGGATTCCTCATGGGAGTTCACACTTTAGATCAATGAGTTTCATATGCCTCATTTTAAGAAAAAATTGAAGATGTTAGTGCTGCTAAGAAACACTTTATTTCTTCTTGTGTTTTTGGCCTTGTTCTTTGTTTTGGAAGTGTGCACCCTTCACGTTAGTGATACTGGTAGGAATTCAGTGGCATGTCGTATGGAGTCTGCAAGGCACAGACTCTGTTTCACCCTCAGCTTTAACACTTCTCCTTGTAAATGAAGCTGAGGATCTGAAAACTGTAGATTCCTCCTCAGCATTCTCATATATTTCAGGAAAGAAATAATTTTCCACAATCTTTTATTATCCGTTCTCTTTATTATAAGCACTGAAGTGTTATAGGACTGAAAATTTAATTTCCAGGAGAAAATACCCAAGCATGATGTTCCTTTTTCCTATAAACAGGTCTTGCTTTCTCTAAGCCATATCTGGTCACATTTCTGGAACAAAGAAAAGAGGATTCCAGTGTGAAGAGAAAAGTGACAGTTCGAATACATTCAGGTATGTCGGCATGGGTGGGTCAGAGCGTGTGAGTGAGAAGTCCAAGGATCCAACAGAAAGCCAGGCTTTAAGATGTGCATTGAGAAGTTTGGTTTTGGTGGGAATCATGTTACAGGAGCTTCTGGTTATTTTTCTTACTATGTATCAAAGGACAGCCCCTGCCCGAGGTTTACCATGCCAAGCATCTTCCTTCCCCTCCATCGAGCTCTGCATGTATTAAAAGTGACTGCCAAAGTCCTTTTTTTCCTCCCCGACTTTCTTCTGTCTGTGTGCTGTTTGTGAGTGCATGAATGTTTGTATGTGCATGAATATATGTGCACTCATGGAGGATCAAAATTGATGTTGAGAGTCTTCCTTGATCTCCCTTGTACCTTACCCATTGACACAGGATCTCTCAGTCAAACTCAGATCTAGTCAGTACAGCTGGTTTCTGTCGCCAGTTTGTTCTGCGGGTTTCCTATCTCCATCTTCCCGACCTGGAATTACAAGTTGGCCACCATGCCCACCCAGCACTTACACACATTCTGGGGACCCAAACTCCAGTCCTCCAGCATGTGTGTCAGGCACTTCATGTACCAAGCCACCTCTCCAGCCCCAAACCATCATTTTGGCTGTGAGGGTATAAATTGTAACAGACTGTTCACAGCTCAGAAAATTTGTAAACATTTCATAACTCTGAGTGAATATGATGTATTCATTGTGCATATATTTATTCATTTTCTTGTGTATCTATGTGTGTGTGTGTGTGTCTGTGTGTGTGTGTACATGTGTGCATATGTGTGTCTGTGTATGTGTCCACACACATGCCACTGTGCACAAGTTGAGGGCAGAGGATAAAATGTGAACGTTTCCTGAGTGGCAGGGATGGAACATAGGTGGTCAGCTTGGGGTCAGGTGCCCTTACTCTCTGAGCCATCTTGGCAGCCCTATGAAGTATTCATATGAATCTTTTTCTGATACACAATATCAGTGACTTAAAATACATTCCCTTTGTGGGTATATACTCGCAGCTGAAAAATGTACACATCTGGAAAAATTTGCTTAATAGCCCTTTGATTGTTTTCCAGAATTTTATGGGTCAATGTTTTGTTTTTCTTATTTTACAATTCTATTTTCTGTTTGATTTTTTTTTTTTTTAAAGTCTGGGCTCCTTCATATCATTTGAGAATATGCTTAGATTTATCCTATATGTTTTTATTGTGACAGTATTTAGTAAATAAGACAATGTAAAAGATTAAAATATCTATGAGCCATAGGAGTATTTGAATATAGAACTATATGTTTTCATTTTCCTGTAAAAATATTACTTATTTTTTCTTGAAATGCCTATTTTTTCTCTTTATTGATTACTTGATGGTTTTTGTACCCCGTTAAGTGAGTATTTCTAGAAATTATGCTAATTTGTTGCCTTTAATTGATGACATTGTTACCTTTAGCAGAACTTTTGTCATTTAAAGGTAAATTATAATTTTTCAAATTTGATACCTCTTTCAAATATATATTTTATTGAGATTAAAACATAACATGACACTTTCTGAAATATTTCAAGGATATTATTCAGTAGTGCTATGGACATTCCATGCAGTACATTTTTACAAAATTTTATAGCTTTGAAAATCAAAACCCTATACACACCAAAAAGTTCATATGTTTCTGTCTCTACCCAGTTTGTCACAATTACCATTGCGCTTCCTGTTTTATAAGCTTTACTACCTGTGTGTTTTCATGTCAGGCCAACAATTTGACATCTGTCTTTATATAATGGACTTGCTTCCTTTAGCAGAATGCTCTTCAGAGTTTCATTACTGCAGTTGCTATATCTGACTTAGCTATGTAAGTTTAACAATTGTTTGTTTCTTCTACATTGTCCCCCTCCTCTCAGTACCGTGGCAGTTTAGGTTGTTTTCACCTAGAGTATTTTCTGAATCAGTCTTCAGGGAATATAGTTATGAAAATATCTGTATTTTTTTATTTGTATGATGTTTAATTATGTGTGAATATATGACCACGTGTGAAAGTTTGCATGTTAAAAATAAACATCATAAATGTAAAGTATTGTGTATGCTTTTATTGATTTCAACTTTTACTCAACAGGAAAAAAACCTTGTAAATGTGAAGTATGTGGGAAGGCCTTTAATAGGAACTCAGTACGTCTTCAACACCAGAGAATTCATACTGGAGAAAAGCCCTACATATGTAAGGACTGTGGTAAAGCTTTTAACTATCCTTCAAGCCTTAAACAACACCAAAGAATTCATACTGGAGAGAAACCTTATAAATGTGAAGAATGTGGTAGAGCTTTTCGTAATCAGCCAGGCCTCGTTCTACACCGAAGAATCCATACTGGAGAGAAACCCTACAAATGTGAAGTATGTGGCAAAGCTTTTCGTAATCAGTCAGGACTTACTCTACACCGAAGAGTTCATACTGGAGAGAAACCCTACCAATGTAAAGACTGTGGTAAGTCCTTTAGTGTTTCCTCAATACTTTCTAAACATCAGAGAATCCATACTGGAGAGAAACCTTACAAATGTGAAGAATGTGGCAAATCATTTAATGTTCACTCAACACTTACTAAACACCAGAGAATTCATACCGGAGAGAAACCTTACAAATGTGAAGAATGTGGCATGGCGTTCAATGTTCGCTGCATACTTTCTAAACATCAGAGAACCCACACTGGAGAGAAACCTTACAAATGCGAAGAATGTGGTAAGGCTTTTCGGTGTTCTTCCAGCCTTCACCAGCACCGACAAATACATACTGGAGAGAAACCCTACAAGTGTGAGCACTGTGGCCAGGCCTTTACTTGTTCTTCATACCTGTATAAACATAGGCGTATCCATACTGGTAAGAAACCCTACAAGTGCAAGGAATGTGGCAAGGCCTTTTACTGCTCTTCAAACCTTCTTTATCATCAGAGAGTTCATACTGGAGAGAAGCCATACAAATGTGATGAATGTGGCAAAGCCTTCAGCATTTGCTCAGCCTTTGTGAAACACCAGCAAACTCATAGTGGAGAAAAACCTTATAAATGCAATGAGTGTGACAAAGCCTATTTTAATTGTCCTAACCTAATTCAGCATCAGAGAATTCATACTGGAGAGAAACCCTACACTTGCAAAGAATGTGGCAAAGCTTTTAATTATACTTCAAGCCTTACTCAACATGAAAGAATTCATACCGGAGAGAAACCCTACAAATGTGAAGAATGTGGCAAGACCTTTAACTCTGCTTCAAACCTTTATCATCATTGGAGACTCCATACTGGAGGGAAGCCCTAGAAATCTGCACAATATGGCAAAACCTTAAACAGTTACTCATGCTTCACGTGATGCCATGAAACCCATACTAGCGGAAATCTCTGTTCATGTAAACACTGTGGCAAAGCTTTCATCTGTGATTCAACACTAAAGAATTCTTGCGTGGAAGAAATCCTAGAAGTGTAAGGAATGAGGGAAGGCCTTTAATAATAATAGCATTTCATACTGGTGAGCCCTTGTAAAAGGCAAAGAAGGTGGCTGTGTTCAGTGATCATCCTGTACTTAAGCCACATCAAATATTTACATATAAACAAAACTCAAATATTCAAATAATGTTGGAAATCCTTGAATTTATCTTCACACCTTATTCAAAAGGCATTTTGTTGAGAAACCCTACAAATATGGCAAGGCTTTCAAGTGAAGCCTAGTCCTCTTTAACCACGAGTGAAACATATTGAACAAAAACCTTTTACATGGCAGTAACTCTGGAAGGATCCTTGTCAAATATAGAAATCTCAGACTAGCAAATTTATTACTCTTGAAATCACTGTGGAAATGGTGTAGCACGCCTTTACTCCTCACTTAGATCTTAAGCAATGTAAAGGAATTATTGTAGGAAACAAATCCTATGAATTGTATGAAATGTCACAAAGCATGAAATAATGCTTATGATTTATATGACATTGTTTCTTGTAATAGAAGGTCATTACAGATGTCTGAATCATGCAGATAACTAGTCTGTGAGGATATCAATTTGGTGTAAACCAAATTTTTATGTATGTAGACTCCATTTTTTAAAACTGAAAGGGGGAAAAAAAACCTAACCTGTCATGTGATTTCATCTGAAGAGCAAGACTGTGTCCTGGATGTTTTCAGTCTGGCTTTTCCAGAGGCCATTCAGTAGGCTATTGGAATATAATGAGAAGTTTAGTGATTTTTGTAAATCAAAGAATATAGTTGTCATGCATCTTCAGTGCTGTATATGGAATGACATTCTGCCACAGACATTAAAGTATTCCACCTTAGTAAGGTGTGATGGTTATTTCTGGTTGTCAACTTGACACACCTGCAAAGAGGGAACCGTAAGGGAGGAATTTCCCCCATCAGATTGGTCTATGATCATCTCTCTTGGAGCATTTATTGATTGCTATTTGATATTAGAGGGCTCAGCTCACTCTGAATGCTACCCTTCCCAGGTAGATGGGACCGGGCTCTATGAGAAGGGGAGCTGAACACGAACCTAGGAACAAGCTAGTAAGTAGTGTTCGTTCATGGTCTCTGCTGTAGGTTCCTTCCTTGAATTCCTGCCTTGCCTTCCTGTGATGATGGATTATTATGGGTATGTTGAAATGAACTCTTTCCTCTTCAGTTGCCTTTGGGTCATGGTGTTTATCACAGCAACATGAGAACAACCTAGAATAGAAACTGGTCTCTAGTGGGTTGTGGCTGTGACTGACCTGACCATTGTGCTTTGGGGCAGGATTGTTGAAGTATTTGGAACTCTGAGCTAGACAAACCATTGAGTGCTTAGATCCTAATTGGCTGGTCTAGTGGGAGCTGGAAATGTAAAAATGTTGAGAGAAATGGAGACAATGGAGGCCTGACTGGAGAAGTTTCCATGGAAAGCAAAGGCTTTACCAGGGCTGTTTGTGTGATATTTTGGATTGTATAAGAATCTGTGTGCTGATTAGCTGGAGCTTAAGAAACAGTTGTGGTTAACAAGAAATCAGCACCACTGAAGTTAGACCATCTGTGCTTTCCTGGGACAGTGGATGTTGACTAGCTGGGGCTGTAAAGTCAGCTATGATTGATAGGAGATCAGCATCATTGAGGCAAAATCTTCTGGGAAGTATTTCCTCAGGATCATCACCGAGAAGCTTTGGTTTGGAGGGACGAAGCTGTACTTCAGTCTGGCAGCCACAGCTGAAAATGTGTAAGTCTCTCCATGTGTTACTTGTTTTGAAGATACCAGAGATGCAAAGTTGAAGTGGTCATGCTGATTTTAGATTTTGCTATTGTGATGAAAGTGTTTATCAGGTTGAAGAGTTTTCTGGTAAAGTCTTTAGGATTATTTAAGTCGAAATTTTTGTCATATGCAAGTAGGTGTATTTTGATTTCTTCCTTTACTATTTATATTTGTTTCTTTTGCTCAAAGTTCATTGACTATGTTGAGTAAGAGTGAAAAGAACAGGTATGGTAGTGTCTGTCTTTACTTTAGAGAAAATGTGTAGCTTTCCCCATGTGCTGTAGTGGTGATGAAAGGCTTGTCACATCCAACTTTTAATATGTTATAATGTGTTAGTTGTATTTCTGTTTCTAGTTTCTACAGGGGTATTGAACTTTGTCAAGGCATTGATTGAGAGGATCACGTTCCTTCCTTCCTATGTGTGGTTAAGTATATGTATTGATTTGTATATTTTGATCCAATCTTGTATTCCTGTAGTAAAAGCAACTTGGTTATAGTGTGATCTTATTAATGTGTTCTTGCATTTGATTTCCGTAAGGTTTTTTTTTTGAGGAGTTTTAAATCTATTAATTATGGAAATTGGTCTGTAGTTTTCTTCTTTCCTGTGTTATCTAGTTGTGGTATTAAGTAATCTTAGTTTGTAGAGTGAGTTTGGTACTATTCGCCCCTTTCTGCTCTATGGAACAGTTTGAAGAAGAATATTGGTGTTAGCTCTTGGAAAGTTTGGTAGAATTTTGGAGTAAAACCACCTGGTACTGAGATATTTTTTCTTGTGAGACTTTGTTCTGCAGTTTCTTTGATTATTTGGAATTTTAAAGTAATTTCTATCTTCTTAGCAGGTGAGGACAGGGGCTTGAAATGCTCTCTGAGTTCCCTAGAACTATTACTGAGCAAGTGTGTATTGTACAGTGTGCACCAGGCTTGGGAGGAGAAAGTTCCATTGGCTGAGAGGAGGGAAGAGAATGATGAGAGATTGGAGTGGGCAGAGCAAGAGCAGCCGCTCCAAGCAGTGGCAGAGCTCGCCAAGCGGAAAAGCCGGAAGTGCACAAACAACAGTCCTCGATGATGTCAGGTGCTGATTGTGGGGGAGAGGCAGTAGTGTAGGAGAGCTTGAGATGCACATACGACAACATTGCATAGGGGTTCCTGTGACAGGAGCATGAAGACTTCGTAAAAGGAACTTCAGAAGTCTTTTCTGAATTATGACAAGAAGATGCCGTGTAGTATATACTTTTACTTTAGTGTACTATTAGCTAATATACTTGGCCTGGGAGTGGGTTAAAAGGACAAATTTTTGTTATAAAGGAATATTCTGTTATTTTTCTTTTTGATTTTGAGGATCACACTTAGATTGATTTGTAGAATGCAGCCCATAGGTGATGCAACACCCCTCATTATCCTTCTGTAATTACCCTGAAAGTGTTCTGTAGGGTACTGGACATCACTAGGTATCAGGGATGAGATCCACATTCTCCACATTTACCTGACTGACACCTCCTAGCCTTCATTGAAGCCTAGTTTCAACCAGAGTCCAGTGTCTGGTTGATCAAGCTAGATTGACCTTGATGGGCTGCTTACACACTGAAATTGGCCACAAATCAGCTTTGAAAAAAAGATGAACTCACCATCTCAGAAAGTGAAAACCATGTTTCCTGCAGGTTTATCAGCAAGTCTGGGAAGAAAAACTATAGGACCAAATAACTCTAGCCACATGATCCTTTCCTACTTTGTAGTGAGGAATGTCAAGCTGGAAAAAGGAATAAGGGAGTCTACAGTGTGTACAGATTTACCCTATAGAAGCTTTTGCTGTTCCTGTACCACACATTGATTGAGGGGGGCCTCAGAAGAAAGAAAATAGCCTTTTACCCTGTGGAGCAGACTTAAAGGAGTCCATAGTTCACAGGGCCACTCAATTGACTACTACGGGAACCCCAGTGAAGACAGGCTCAGAGTCACCAGTGGAGAGTTCCCTGACTGAACCACCAAAATATCTTTCCAGGAAGGAAGAACCAGAAGCCAAACTTACAAGTACTTAATAGGCCAGCACTGACACAAAAGTTAAATAAGAAACAGACATGGACAGAAGCAAAGGGGTAAATTTTCAGTGCATTGCATCCCTTGGAGTTAGGGGAAGAAGGATGATCTTTTTAACTGATTAAAAGAAGTTACCTGCCCTTGTATCTGATCATTTGTGTAAGGGTGTATTTGAATAGAGTTCAAGAGGGCAGCTCACTATCTTGAGGTGGTAAATTGTAACACTGCTTTTCCAGTAGACTGGCTATTCACAGTGAGATGTCTGGGGCGATTAGGAGTCTGGGTCTTTTTGTTTATATAAGGCATCACAAGTTACTGAGTCGGGCTCCAAGTAGTGAGGGACTGATTGTTAGTAAGTAGTGAATTTTGTTTTGCTTTGGGGGCCTTTTGTTTTTTGCCTTTTGACTGTACACAGTCTTTAGTAGTTTCTGAGTTACCAGGTAGAGCCCTTTCTTTACAGCTGCTTCAATATGAGGTACTGTCTCTTATTTTGTTCTGTGAAGTTTTCCTTCAGAGGAATGAAACATTTGTTCGTCCCAGATAGGGCACCAGTGGAAAACCAGAGCAACAATTCAGCCCAAGTCTATCACAGTGAACCAGTGAATTGAAGAGGAAAGCTGAAATTGAGGGAAAAACCCATAATAGCTAAGCCTGAGAAAACAGCCCCTGCTTATCAGCCCCTGCTGACTTATGAAAACAAATTCTAGATACCTTGCAAACCAGTCCTACCGTCTTTAGAAAGCAGGTGTATAATCATTCTGCCTTTTGTTGGCACACTTCCCTGCTTGGAATTCCAACTTGTGGGTCATAGAAGAATGTAGGTCCATAGGTTAAAGACCCATGCATGGTTCACAGTCATGTGGTTTGAAAGCCCTATGACCCCATGCCCACCAATAAGTAACAATGCAGGGTCGGGGCGGGGGGAACCTATACATTCTGTAAGGAGACTCAACCTAGTGCTCAAGTTCTTTCAGAGGTAACTGCTCAAGCCTGCTAGTGAGAATAAACTTCCCCGATTTCTCCTGTTGGTGTCCTCTCTGTGTGGCTGCTTCCATGCTGCAGTGTCCCCATAACAAGTTCATTAGGGATCCTGATAGGTGTACAGGTGAAAATGTTACTCACAGGAGCATGATGATGCAGAGGTGCTCTGTCACTTTAAAGACCACCCCTGCAAGAGTGGCATTTCATGATGGCTACATCCCCAGAGCTCCCTGTAGAATATGCAGGCAGCTTGGCCTGTTGGAGAGTCTCCTCCCTAGAACTTATTACTGCTTACATAACCATTTGAGAGGGCCTTGTGAATTTCTAACTTTTCAGGAGTTGCCCGAAAGTTTTGAGTTCTTTATTTATTGTTCCTTGTAAGTTTCATTTGTTTCCTGGGTCTTAAGGAACTTTCCTCCAGGATGGATTGATTCGATTTAGAGGAAACTGCTACACACTTTCAGATGAGCTTTCGGTAAGGAAACTTTTGCACTCCTAGGTTCCACAGATTCAATGACCACCAGATTTACGTTGGTAGAATTTCCTGAGGCCACAAAGACTGAGCTCCTCACCATCGTCTTTCCCAAGGGAGGAATGATAAGGGAAATAGCAGAGGGGGCTCTGGAGGGCAGGACGAGGAAAATATGGGAGGTGTTCCAACATGTGCTCCTTTTGTCTTACAGAGAGGTAACGAGACACCCCTATCCTTTACTTGTTTGATCTAGTCCTCACAGAAGAAAATGTGCGATGATTTTCTCAATCAACCCCAGGATAAAATTAAACTGGAGAATAAAAACGTGGTCACTAAAAGCAGGAGTGGTGGCA